AGCCCAGAGAAATACTATTATGGCTGGTTCCCCTCAGTACACTTTTTTTTTTGGGGAGGGGAGAGGTTTTTTGCTATAGGTTGAGTGCACTCACCAGAAAGACAGAGAGATAGAAAGCTAGAAGTCACCCCCAGGGGGATGGCCACACCACAATCTCTTCTCCTCCATTCTCCTCTCAGGATCTTGGGCACATACACATGCGCCGGCGTGAGTTTAAGCCACTGGGTCCAGGACTGTCTGTCTCTCTCTTTCTGGAGAGTGCACACACCCGATAGCAAAAACCTCTTAAAACACACACACACACACAAATTTCATGTCTTTAAAAATGTTTAAAGTGTGACCTACCAAACACTGCATATGGTTTAAAACAAAGCAATGTGAAAATATTAGAACTTAAAAGAATTCTTCATGTCACAAGTGTTTTACTTTGAATGATATGCCTTTGACTTAACTTGCGACATTTTTAAGGTACTTTGTAATAAACTTGGAAGAAGAAAGAAAACAGCAGGACCAGCAATGGTGTAATGATTATGTCACTGGACTCCCATGTAGTCTACAGTGGTTCTAGTCCTAGACCAGATGGCTTGAAACTCATGCTGGGTGGAGTGTGTGCCCAAAATCCCAAGAGGAGAATGGAAGAGAAGGGATTGTGATTTGGCCATCCCCCCTGGGGGGGGGGTTGTGATTTCTGATTTCTGTCTGTATCTCCAACGAGCACATACACCCTATAGCAAAAATCTCTCCCCCCCCCAAAAAAAAAGGCAGAAAGGTTTTTGAGGAAGATGCAGACACAGGTGCTGCAGAGTTGATGAGCTCTCTTCTTAACTGCTGTTCACTCTTGTCAAGGAACAAGTTAGGAAGTCATGTATTAAGGATACTGGGAAAACACCGTGGAGCCATAGGAGGCCATTAACTGAATTACCTTAACCAGCCTCAGTGTAAAAGTCCCTGGAGAAGGTGTGTGTTGAATTGATCAGAAGTGCAAAGAAAATAAATCTCAAAGTGAAAGGACCAGTTTAGATGTCTACCAAAACTTTGAGAATGGCTACAAGAAAAACACCTGTGGTGAAGGTTCTAAGACATGGGGGTCTTTTCCAGTTGAGAATTCACAAGGAACTCATTGATTTGCACACCCTTCTGAGATTGTTAATCAGACTTCTTCCATTAGAATTGAACTAAGAGGGAACCAGCAGTTAGCGTAATGGCTATGTCGCTGGACTCCCACGTAGTCAACCGCGGTTTGCGTCCCGGACCCGGTGGCTTAAAACTCACACCAGGCGCGTTGTGTGTGTGTGTGTGCCCAAGATCCCGAGAGGAGAATGGAGGAGAAGGGATTTTGGCATGACCATCCCCCCTGGGGGGTAATTTCTCTCTGTCTATCTCTGTCTGTCTGTTTGGCAAGCACAAGCGCCGTATAGCGAAAATCTCTCCAAAAAAAAGGAGAATTGAACTAGGAGTTGAGATTGAAGTCACCATTACAGATGCTCAAGTCAACTGTGGGGGCGGAAAAGTCATTTTTCTATGCAAAAATGGTCATGACTTTTCTGACAATCCAGTATTATAATAAATTACTAGATGTTGGAAGACCAGCAGGTGGCATGGTGTTTAAAGTGCTGGACACTCCCACATGGCTGACCACGGTTTGAGTCCTGTACTTGGTGGCTCTTACTCTGTGTGCATCTCTGGTCAAATTAAATTATTGAATAATAATAATTATTATTTTAGAGGTTTTTCGCTACAGGGCACATGCACTTTCCAGAGAGACAGAAAGCCAGAAATCACACCCCAGGGGGGGATGTCCACGCTGCAATCCCTTCTCCATTCTCCTCTCAGGATCTTGGGCACATACGCACACGCACTTGGCATGAGTTTAAGCCATCAGGTCCGGGAATTGAACCAGAGTTGACTACATGGAAGTCCAGTGACATAGCCATTACACTAACTGCTGGTCCCATGAATAATTATTTTTTTAAAAAATTACCAGATGTTTAAAAAACAGGAGGGGCTAGCAGGTGGTGTGGTGGTTAAGGGTGCTGGACTCCTGCAGTTCAAATCCTGGACCTGGCAGCTTGCTATCTCACTTTCCATCTCTCTCTCATGTTCTGGTCACATTAAAATAAATAAAGTTAAATAAAATCTTTTTTTAAAAAGAATTATTTACTTAATTTTATTTATTCAGTCATTTATTTTAATTTGACAGGAGTTGGGGGGAAGAGAGAAGCCACCGGATTCAGGACTTGAACCATGGTAGGCCATGTGAGAGTGTCCAGCACCTTAACCACCATGCCACCTGCTGGTCCCATAATTCTTTTTTTTAAAAAGGAAATATAACATGAAAAAAAGCAAAAGCTAACCATATTATAATAGAAAGTGGGTATAGCCCACTCCTGCATTGTATGTAACACTAAAATTTAATCACTGGCCTAGCTGCAGTGTTATAAGCAGAAAGACACCACATGCAGTGAGTGAGCCTGCATGGGAGGTCCTGATTTGGTTCCCAGCCTGATTTAAATAGTCCAGACATAGTAGTAGCTGCCTGTGGTTCTAGCTGATTGGGAGGCTAAAGCAGAATCCTCAACATGGTGAGATCTGGCCCCAAATCCCCCCACCCTCATTTCTCAACAAAAAATAAAAATAAACAAAAAACTCAATGATGAGAATCTACTTTAAAATTACGGAATCACTGAGAATATGGCCCTTGGTATCCTGTCCCAAAATGGACATCTGATGTATGATGAGTTGACTTGCAATATAAAGTTCTCTAATATGCATCAACTCACGAGGCTTTACTTAATGAATTTTCTGACAGTGCACAAATTACTCTACATTCAGTGTGTTCAAAACAGTTCTGTTTTTGTATGAATAAATGACAGATATGAGACACAATGTTATCACTGAAATCCTGCCATACTCATTGTTATCTTAAATTTTTAATCCAATGTGAAATATCTGACAACTATTAAGGTTTTGTATTTGGGCAAAGGCATTTCCATGATCATTGTGTCACTGCTGCATAGAAGCTCACCCACATTCTAACAAGACCATTGAGCTAGGAATTTCTTCCCATGGGAGACTTTCCCTGCTCTCCCCCAGTTATGAGATTTATCTCACTGTTGGGACCAGCAGTTAGCATAACAGCTATGTCACAGGACTCCCACGTAGTCCACTGTGGTTTGAATCCCGGACCCAGTGGCTTAAAACTCACGCCGGGCGCGTGTGCGCGTGTGCCCAAGATCCTGAGAGGAGAATGGAGGAGAAGGGATTGTGGTGTGGCCATCCCCCCTGGGGGTTGATTTCTCGCTTTCTGTCTCTGTCTGGCAAGTGTACGCGCCCTATAGTGAAAACCTCCCCCCCAAAAAACAAAACAAAACAAAACCAGATTTATCATACTGTACACTTTTTAAGACATGTAACTCCTTATAAATTTTTCACCAAAACTTTTCTGCACTGACTGTATCAGGTTATTTTTTATTCCTGCATGTTTTGGCATACAAAAGGTATAAGGTATTCAGTCACTGAAGGCACTAGCACATTCTTTGCATTCATTATATTTCACACCTATGCAAATTCCATAATCTTCCAGGCAAAAATCTAGCCACAGGGCACTTTACACCTACTATATTCATGTATGCTAGGAGCAAACTTATGTTTGAGTTCACAGTACTGACATTACTTGTCCCCTAAGAGGCTCATTTCTATGTAAATGAGTCCAGATTCCAAGTAAGGACCCTGTGTCTCAATTTATACTTTTATCTTGTGCGCACTGCCTTTTTTTTCTTAAGAGATTTTTGTTATAGGGTAAGTGTGCTCACTGTAGAGACAGAGAGAAAGTAAAAAAATCACCCCTGGGGGGATGGCCATGACACAACCCTTTTTCCTCTATTCTCCTCTTGGGAGTTTGGGTACGTGCACACACACACACACACACACACACAGGCCCAGCATGTTTTAAGCTGCTGTATCTAGGACTTGATACAGTTGACCATGTGGGAGTCCAGCACCTTAACCACCACACCACCTACTGACCCCATATTGTCATATTTTTAACAAAGCTCAACAAATGAGAGAAAAATTATCCCCCTTCCTAATAACTGAATCCAATGTCTCACATGAATGCTTTTGTGTATGTGTGGGGTGTATGTGTGTGTTTGTGTGTGGTGTTTTTTAGAGAGGGTCTTGCCATATTACAATCCTCCTGCTTTAGTCTCCCAAGCAGCTGTGACCACAGGCACATACCATCACATCAGCTCTTTCAGACAGGGTATTGCTTTGCTGCCCATGCTGGTCACACCACAAGCTTAAGATCTTCCTGCATCAGTCTCTTGACTGGCTATGGTTTCAGCCTGCCTAGCAGCAGCATCCAGCATATGCTGCCATGGGCTATACCTTGTATGAGTTTGATTTACCTTGTGTGCATCAAAGAATCAAAGCCTGAAGGTTTCCCTTCATTGATCTCCTTTCATATATTGTACTTTTTTTTTTTTTTGAGAGTTTTTTGCTATAGGGTGCATGTGCTCGCCAGAAAGACAGAGAGACAGCAAGAAATCACCCCCCCCCCCCCGGGGGGAAGGCCCCACCCCCACCCCCAGGGAGGATGGCCCCACCGCAATGGCCACGCCTCCATTCTCCTCTCGGGATCTTGGGCACGCACGCAAACGCGCCCAGCGTGAGTTTTAAGTCACTAGGACCAGGACTTGAACCGCGGTTGACTACATGGGAGTCCAACGACATAGCCATTATGCTAACTGCTGGTCCCCATATATTATACTTTATCTCCTGTGTAAATCCCTGGTAGAGACTGATAGTGTATGAATAGGATTTTTTACACTCAGTACACACAAAGTTGATCCTGTATGAAATCTGACATTGTAGAAGACATATTTTCTTTCTGAAGGCATACTATATTCATTGCATTGTTAGGATTTGTTTCCATTATGATTTTGCTGGTGTACAATAAGATTTCTTTTTGAGGAGAAGCCTTTTCTACACACACTGCATATAAAGGGTTTCTCTCCTGTATGAGTTCTTTGATGAACAATGAGACGACTTTTCACAGTAAAGCCTTTACCACATTCATCACATGCATAAGGTTTCTCTCCAGTATGAACCTGGTTATGTAAAATGAGCTCTGTTTCCATAGCAAAGGCTTTTCCACATTCACTGCATATGTAGGATTTTTCCTCTGTATGAACTTGCCGATGTACAATGAGATAACGTTTCATAGTAAAGCCTTTTCCACATTCACTGCACGTAAAGGGTTTCTCTCCAGTATGAGTTCGCTGATGTACAACAAGATTGCTCTTGAAGGCAAAACCTTTTCCACATTCATTGCATATGTAGGGTTTCTCTCCAGTATGAGTTCGCTGATGTAACATCAGTCCACTGTTTACAATGAAACCTTTCCCACATTCTCTGCACCTATAAGGTTTCTCTCCAGTGTGAGTTCGCTGATGTACAATCAGCCGACTCTTTAAGGGAAAACCTTTCCCACAGTCACTGCATATATAGGGTTTTTCTCCAGTATGAGTTCGCTGATGTATTATAAGCATACTCTTCACAGTGAAGCCTTTTCCACATTCATTACATAGATATGATTTCTCTACTGTATGATTTCTCTGATGTACAATGAGGTTACTTTTCCTGGGAAAACCTTTTCCACATTCATTGCATGTGTAAGGTTTCTCTCCAGTATGAGTTCGTTGATGTTCAATCAGACGGTTCTTCATGGTGAAGCCTTTCCCACATTCATTGCAGATAAATGGTTTCTCTCCTGTATGGTTTCGTTGATGTATAATGACATAGTGCTTCGTGGTGAAGCCTTTCCCACAATCATTACAGATGTAGGGCTTCTCTCCTGTATGAGTTCGTTGATGTATGATAAGCATGCTTTTCCCAGTGAAGCCTTTTCCACATTCATTACATACATACGATTTCTCTCCAGTATGATTTCGCTGATGTACAATGAGATTACGCTTACCTGGGAAGCCTTTTCCACATTCATTGCATACATAGGGTTTCTCTCCGGTATGAGTTCGCTGATGTTCAATCAGACGGCTTTTCATAGTGAAGATTTTTTCACATTCACTGCATATAAGAGATTTCTCTCTTTTATGAATTCTCTGATGTTCATTGAGCCTGGACTTTCTGGAGAACACCTTTGCACACATACTGCATCCATAAGGTTTCTCTCCTGTATGAACTCTCTCATGATCAATAAGCTGAGACTTCTTGGCAAAGGCTTTCCCACACTCACTGCATACATGAGTCTTCTCTATTTCATGAGTTATCTGATGTTTAATGAGTTGGGATTTATTGCTATTAGCTTTTCCACTTGTAGGGAATTTAACTGCAGAATTAAATTCTTCACATTTACCATGCAGAAACGATTTTTCATCTCCATTAAATTTAATAGAGTTCTTAATTCCACTGTCTTTGTTCTGGTTGACTAAACTTACATGTGACTTCATAGCTTTTACGTTTAACTCAAATGTACCATGATTCTTCTTGGTAGGACAATGACTTCTGCTTTGAGGAATAATATTTGCAAATGTATTATGTTCATGATATTGTTCTATACATTTCAGAATTCTTTGATCTTTCAACTGACCATGCAGATGATTATCTTTGCCATTTTCTAGGAAAAGATAGAACAATGAATATTTCTGTAATCTTGTTTGGGATTAAGAAATTTTAAAAGTTATTTGGTATTTTAAAATAATAGTTCTTTAGTGACAACCATATGAAAACAGTACAAAAACAATTACTTACTGCTTACATATTGGTAAAGAACAATCTAAACAAACCAAAAGGTAAAAACAGTTAGTGTACAATAAGATTAAGTAGCTTATAATCTGTACAGATTGTTTTCTAACTAGAACCTTACAAAACATAGAGATATTAAAAGATACAAGGAAGTCATTCTTACAAGAGACAAAGAAGGTTTAGAGAAACAACATTCTATGGAAGTTGAGGAGACACTGGACCACAAAGGTGGAAGAAACAGATGATTTAAAATGATAAAAGTTGTATTTATAGATTTTGTAAATGTTTATTATATGGTTCCCATGGGGCTGGCAGGTGGCATGGTGGTTAAGGTATTCAACTCCCATGGCCAACCATGATTTGAGTCTCAGACATGGTGGCTTGGTCTCACTTTCCCTCTCTCTCTGTGTCTGTCTCTGGTCAAACTGATTAATAGCAATAAATTAAATAAAACAATTCTTTAAAAAAGGGGAAGGGCTGGCAGGTGGCATGGTGGTTAGGGCCTCAGGACTCCCACATGATTAGCCATGGTTTGAGTCCTGAACCTGGTGACTTGCTTTCTCACTTTGTCTCTCTCTCTCTTTGTGTGTGTGTGTGTCTCACGCTGGTCAAATTGAAAATAACAATGATAATTAAATACTTCTTTAAAAAAAAATGGCTCCCATGTTCAAAGTATTCTGCTGGTGTTTGGGATATATAGAATATGCCATACTTCAGCTGATTTCAAAATTATCTTTAGTATTATTTAACTTTATTTATTTAAATTTGTCTAAAGAGGGACAGAGTGAAAGAGAGAGAAAGAGAGAGTGAGAGAGAAAGCAAGTCACCAGGTCTGGGACTCAAACCACAGTTGGCCACATGCGAGTCCAGTGCCCCTAACCACCATGCCACCTGCCAGCCACAACTGATTTTGAATTCTAACTAGGGAAAACTGAGTAACCCAGAAGGAAAGGAATAAAACAAGGGAGTTGGAGATAGTTGGAAGTGATCTGAATGAGTGAAGATAGTGGGAAGCAGAGAAAATTGTGATATATTTTCATAAAGAATAGACAAGGTTAAATGATGGGGTCAACAGGGAGAGTGTTTAAAGTGAGTCATCAGACTAGTCCTGTAGCTTAGAGTTTAAGGGAGCTGGATCCCATGGTTATCACAGTTGAAACCCTGCCTCCAGCAGCTTAAAAAACATGCTGGATTAATGTGTGTCCATGCACAAAGTCCCAGCAGGATGGAGAGTTGGAACAGAAGGACCTGTGGCATGATTATGCCCCATTAGAGGATGTGGGGTGCTTTCTCTCTCTTACCTCTCTCTCTCTCTCTAGTGAGTTTACATGCCCTTTGGAAATTTAAAAAAAGAAAAAGAAAAAATAGAGAGTAATCAAAGATTACTCACGAACTACATGGCTTGAGCCACTCGGTAGGTGGAAGCTTCTTATAATGAGATGGAGAATATTGCTGAAGTCCAGAATGTATAGAATAAAGTACATATCATGAAGTGTAAACTTCAGATATGCAGTATGGGCACCAAGAATCTGGTTGGAGGTATAAATGGAGAGTGGAAATAAGGTACGCATGTTATTAAAGAGAACAAAATGACATGTTGGGAAGACCTGTAGACTGAAAGATAATAAAATATACAGAACCAAACTTTTAGATATACCATCATGTACAGGTTTAGGATTCTTTTTTTTTTGAGAGATTTTTGCTATAAAGCACATGTGCTTGCTGGAGAGACAGACAGAAAATGAGAAATCACCCCCCAAGAGGGATGGTCACATCACATGCCCTTCTCCTCCATTCTTCTCTTGGGATCTTGGGCACACACGCACATGTGCCAGGTGGGATTTTTTTTTTTTTTAAAAGAACTGTTTTATTTATTCATTCATTCATTTATTTTAATTTGACCAGAGAGAGAGGGAAAGTGAGAGCAAGCCACCAGCTTCAAGGCTTGAACTGTGGTCAGCCATGTGGCTGTGAGTGTCCAGGGCTTTAACCGCCATACTACCTACTGGTCCCAACGCCTGGTGTGAGTTTTAAGGTACCAGGTCCAGGACGCAAACCAGGTTGACTATGTGGGAGTCCAGTGATTTAACCATTACACCATCTGCTGGTTCTCAGGTTGGGAATTCTTTTTTTTTTTTTTTTGGAGAGGTTTTTGCTATAGGGCGCGTGCGCTCGCCAGACAGACAGAGAGAGACAGAGAGATAGAACGCAAGAAATCACCCCCCAGGGGGGATGGCCACGCCGCAATCGCCTCTCCTCCATTCTCCTCTTGGGATCTTGGGCACACATGCACACGCGCCCGGCGTGAGTTTAAGCCACCGGGTCCAGGACTTGAACTGCGGTCGACTACATGGGAGTCCAGCGACATAGCCATTACGCTAACTGCTGGTCCCTGGAATTCTTTAAGCTCTTTTAGAGGAGCCAAACTCTGACATCAGAGATCAGGGAAATATGTAAACTTAGGTGTATCAAATGGCAGTATTTGTTACCTGGCATGTAAGAACGAGACATCTAAGAATGTGAGATCTGGGGCCAGCAGGTGGTATGATTATTAGGGGTGCTGGACTCCCATATGGCTGACTATGGTTCGAGTCCCAGACCTGGTAGCTTACTTTCTCTCTCTGGTCAAATAATAGTAAATAAAGTTAAATAATTCTTAAAAAAAAAAAAAAGAAAAAAAGAATGTGAGATCTTCAGTATCTGAATTAAAGTGAATGGAGACAGACTCTTTTGTATGACTCCTTCTCCTAAGTTTGCTCTTCTTCAGTTTGTAGGCCATTATGCTTATTTTTCAAAAACATCATTCACATTTAGTGGACAACTTTTATACTCAACAATCCAATCTTTGGTCTTGCTCTGTCACATTACATATATTCCATTTACATAAAATAAAGAGACAATAATTACTACAAATTTTGCAACTAGCCAGTGTCCCATGCAGTTGTCTTGAAAAGGTAATGTCTGTAACATGGGATGTGAAAAATATCGCCTTCTTCAATCATATTCTGCATGCAGCAGGAAGGTCATAACCAAAATTTTTCCTGTTTCAATGTCAAATTGTTCTCTCATCTTGCCATCAATACCATCTACTTCATTAACACTACGTTTGTATCTTTGATGGCATCAGTTAAGGTATACTAAAAATGAACTTCTTTGTTCTGGGCAAAGGATGTACCAGCTTTACCTTTGGTCTTTCTTAGAATAGGTGGGTGTTCCTTACTATTCCACATTGCTGCCACCCAGGTGAAAGGCAAGACAATTAGAGCTACAATAATATCAAACTAACCAACCCTCTACTGCGCTACCACAATTACATCTAAAATCTAAACAGTCATCCTGGCCAAAAATAAATAAATAAAATTTATATTACCACAAATAACCCATTCATTCACGTGTCTACTATTTCCCCAACGCAAATCGTCTTTCATTGGCCTGTGTTTGGCCAAATTTAGACCAGTCTTTTCATAACTGACCTCGCTGTCTTACATATTTCCTATTTTATGTCTTCACTCTTAATTCATGCCATCCTCTTCCTAATTAAAATCTAGATATAAACCATACCCATCATGTTCTTACCATTTCTATATGCCACTATTATCTCTATTTCTTCTATATTTCTAAAGTAATCCCTTTCTTTGGTTATACTTTCTTTTTCTTTTTTTTCCTAATTTGGTATAAAGCATGTGCACTCACTGGAGAGAGATGGCAAGAGAGGAAGGGAAAATCTGAAAGCACCCCTAAGAGGGAATGACCATGCTGAAACCCCTTCCTCTTCATCCTCCTCCATGTACACACACACATGTGGTGTGATTTTCAAGTTGCTGGGTCTGGAACTGAAATTACATTGTTGGCCATGTGGAATCCAGCTACCACACCACCTGCTGGCCTTTAATTATTCATTTTTTGTGGAGTATTTAACCTCATTCAGAGACAGAGGTCTGGTCTTGCCTTTGGCTATTGGAAAATCATCTCTATCCCTCCAAAATAACAAAAGGGATGTTTCTGTACACTAGACAGTCTAATATTATGCTTTATGATAGGAGTTTTGGGCTAAACTGTATCGTTCCAACCCTCAGAAGACCTGAAGACTCTAGATATTAACTTAAATTCTGGGAGAGGCTGGAGACTAATGGTCAGCCCTACTGACAGCAGGTGATTGAGTCCCAATTAAAAACTCTAGAAACTGGGTTAGCAGATTGTGTGCAAGTTAAGGTATTGGATCCCACATGGCCAACTGTGTGGTTCAAGTCCTTGACCCAGTGGCTTGAAAATCACATGGGCACATGTATATGTGTGCTCAAAATCCTGAGAGAAGCCTAGAGAAGGAACTGCACTGTGGCCATCCTCCTTGCTGGAGGATTTCTAACTTTCCCTCTTTCTCTCTGTCTGGCAAGTGCACACATCCTCTATCAAAACAAAACAAAACTCTAGATACAAAAGGATCAAGTGAAATTTCCTGGTTGGCAATACCCTGTGTATATCATTAGACATTATGGCCAGAAGGAGGTAATACAGGGATATGATGACCAGAAGAACTGCCTTTGGACACTTCTTGTACTGTAGTTATGGCCCAGGAATTTCTTTCCTAGATATATACTCAAGAAAAACGAAACATATCTTCACGAAAAAGGTGTACATGAATGTTCACAGCAGTATAATTCATAAAAATCCAAAAGTGAAAATAACCCTAATGTTCATCAGTAGATGAATGGATAAATAAAATGTGGTATATCTATATGCTGTAATATTATTTGGCACTAAAAAGAAATGAAGTAATGATATATCGTAAAACATATAAGAATATCAAAGATATTATAATGAAAGAAGTCAGATACAAAAAAACTACATATTCTATGATTTCATCTAAATGAATTATCTTTTTTTTATTATTTTATTTATTTATTTTTTGGAGAGGTTTTTTGCTATAGGGCGCATGCGCTCGCCAGACAGAGAGAGACAGAGAGACAGAAAGCGAGAAATCACCCCCCAGGTGGGATGGCCACGCCGCAAACCCTTCTCCGTTCTTGTCTTGGGATCTTGGGCACACATGCACATGTGCCCGGTGTGAGTTAAAAATATGGAACGCTTCACAAATTTGCATGTCATCCTTGTGCAGGGGCCATGCTAATCTTCTCTGTATCGTTCTAATTTATTATATGTGCTACCAAAGCGAGCACTAAATGAATTATCTTTAACAGGCAAGTCTATGGAGCTAGATTAGTAACTGCCTAAGACTAGGTGATTGGGAGAAAACATGGTTCTTGTTTTTTTTTTTAAGTGATGAAGTAATGAACATCTTCCAAAATGGATTGTGGTAATGGTTCTATAACTTGGTTGGTAAGAGTACAAAGCACTGAATTACAAATGTTAAATTGGCAAACTATACAGCATGTGAATTATCTCAATAGAGTATTAAAACAAAACAAAAGAAAACAAAACAAAAACGGGGCCAACACGTGGTGTGGTGGTTGGGTGCTGGACTCCACATGGCAGACGGGGGTTTGAATCCGAGACCCAGTGGCTTGAAACTCAAACTAGGTGCTTGTATATGCATGCCCAAAATCTCGAAAGGATAATGAAAAAGGGATTGTGATGTAGCCATCCCTCCTGGGGGGAGATTTGTCACTCTGTCTCTCTCCGTGTCTCTGGTGAGTACATGCACCCTATAGCAAAAATCTCTCTAAAACATACAAACCAAATAAATAAATAAATAAATAGGGAAAATCCATTAGGGAAATGAGTGCTAGCATGTAAGATTAACAAAAGGAAAAACAGAAATATTAAATGTATGCAGTATGTAAACTGAGGCAGACATAAGTTAAGAAATGCTTTCAGGCCAGCAAATGGCATTGTCGTTAAGATGCTGGATTTCCACATGGCTGACTGTGTTCGAGTCCTGGGCCTAGCAGCTTAAAATTCACACTGACCATGTATATGTACATGCCCAAAATCCTGAAAAGAGAATGAAAAGAGAAGGGCGTGGCCATATACCCCAACCCTGGGGTGATTTCTCGCTATTTGTCTCGGCCTCATTGGTGAGTGTATGTGCCCTATGGCAAAAACTTCTATGAAAAAAAAAAGGAGAAAAAAAAGGTTTGGACTGAACCTGATACAGGCTGTAAAATAATCGTTCTTGGAACTAGCAGATGGAATAATGGTTACACCACTGGACTCCCACATAGTCGACCACAGTATGAGTCCTGGATCTGGTGGCTTAAACTTAAGATGAATGTGTGTGTGTGTGTGTGTGTGTGCCCAAGATCCCAAGAAGAAAATGAAGAAGGGACTGTGGCATGGCCATTCTCCCAGGGGGGTGATTTCTTGCTTTCTGTCTCTCCGTCTGTCTTTGTCTCTCTGGTGAGCACACACACCCTACAGCAAAAATCTCTCCAAAAAAATAAATAAATAAAAAATAAAATTTTAAAAATAAAACAAAACAACAGCTCTTTCTAGATTAAATCAAAAGAAACATTAGACAATTTTTTTTCCTGAGAGGTTTTTGCTATAGGGCGTGTGCGCTCACCAGAAAGACAGAGACAGAAAGCGAGAAATCACACCCCCAGCAGAGATGCCACACCGAAATCCCTTCTTCTCCATTCTCTTCTCGGGATCTTGGGCACACACACACATGTGCCTGGCATGAGTGTAAGCCACCGGGTCTGGGACTCAAACCATGGTTGACTATGTGGGAGTCCAGCGACGTAACCACTATGCAATCCGCTAGTCCCAACATTACACAATTTTAAGACAAGAATTACTCAGAACCAACAGATGGTGTAATGGTTATGTCACTGGACTCCCATGTGACTGAGAGCAGTTTGAGTCCTGGACCCAGAGGGTTGAAACTCACATCGGGCATGTGTGCATGCCCAAGATCCCAAAAAGAAAAGGGAGAAGGAATTGTAGCATGCCATTCCCCCAGGGGGATGATTTCTTGCTTTCTGTCTCTCTGCCTGTCTTTGTCTCTCTGGCAAGCACACATACCCTACAGCAAAAATCTCTCTCAAAACAACAAGAATTCACTAGGAAAAGACCATTCAAGATAATGCCAGCATGGACAGAACATAAGAATCTATCCTTAAAACTAGGGCCAGCACGTGGTGCGGTGGTTGACGCACTGGACTCCCACATCGCCAACCTCAGTTCAACTCCCAGATCTGGTGGCCTACCTTCTTTCTCTCTCTCTATCCCCCTTCCCTCTTTGGTCAAGTTGAATAATAACAATAATAATAATAAATACATAATTAAAAAAAAAAGAATCAGGGCTGGCAGGTGGTGTGGTGGTTAAGGACATTGGACTCCCACATGGTCAACCACAGTTCGAGTCCCGGACCTGGTGACTTGCTTTCTCACTTTCCCTTTCTCTCTCTCCCTTTCTCATTCTCTCACACTCTGTCCGTCTCTGGTTAAATTAAAATAAATGAATAAATAAAATAAATAAAGTTAAATAAAATAATTATTAAAAAAATCAATCCTTAAAATAAGATGGAAGAAAGGTGTTTTTGTGGAGGAAAATGATTCCAATTCCTCAGGCAGTATGGGAAATCGTAAGTCAGTTGCCAGAGTGAAAGGTAAAATATACAGAACTAAAATATATGTTAAACAACATTAAGGGGGATATCAATTTGGAAGTCTCGTCTAGAGAATGAATGAGTTAACTTATGAGAATGAAGAGATATTTTCAGGGTTAGAAGAACAACAGAGAAATGGAAAACAGAACCACTAAAGAATCTCAGACTGGGGCTGGGGAGAAGTTAAGGAACTAGATAAATGCACAGAAAGAGACCAGGTTATTGTGAGGGCATAAGATACAAGGTAGTGCTGCCAATTAGGAAGGAAAATCAGTATTTTCTAGTAAAGCAGGAAAGTGCAACAAGTAGAAGACAGTAATGAATTCCACGAATTCTATATGGAGCGAGGCCTGGAAGGTAGAAATTCATAGTAAGGGAGGTAAAAGGAATAATAGAGAGAGCTGTAACAGAATATAAAAGAATTGATTATGGAATCCAAAGAGAAAAAACTAGGCAAACAAAAACCAAGATGTAAAATAAAATAAGCAGATTGTGTATCAAAAGAAAAAAAAAAAAGAGGTACAATTCTCTTTAAAGAGCTAAAAGAAAAGCCCTAATGTGGGAAGAGGGATACACAGAGGCACTGTTGTGTATCATCAGACACCCACACAGCCTTTATGACTGATTAGAATAAGACTTCCTGGTTCTCACCTGGACAGACCTGACTCTGTATTTCATCTTCTACTGCCCAAGGTTCTTCTCCTCGTTCTAACTTGGAGAATACATCTGGTTTTCTGTATTGATACCCTGTTAACGGAATGATAGAAGACTTAGACCCATCAAACTGGGATGAAGTATTACTATATTTAAAGATTAGACAGTTTCCACATCTGCAAAGTAGCGGCTTTTCTCTCAGAAGGCACATGGTATCCTTTTCTCAGGAGCCAGAGGAGGCACTAAAAAATCTGCCATTTACGGCTGGCAAGTGGCGTGATGGTTAGGGGTGCTGGATTCCCACATGGCTGACCGTGGTTCAAGCCCTGGACCTGATGGCTTGCTCTCTCACTTTCCCTCTCTCTCACTCTGTCCTTCTCTGGTCAAATTTAAATAAATAAATAAAGTTAAATAAAATAATTCTTAAAAAAAATCTGCCATTTAGAGAACTGCAGTGGCTTCAAAGTTTAAAAGTAAAGAGAGAAAAAGTCACTAATTGGCACCCTCTGAGTGACACAAAGTGGCTTCCTCACCCAGTGACACCAGGTTGCCATAGTTCTCCAGCATCACGTCCCGGTACAGGTCCTTCTGAGCAGGGTCCAAGAGCTGCCACTCCTCGCAGGTGAACTCCACAGCCACATCCTCAAGTGTCAGTGATTCCTGTAAAAACACCATCTGCTTAACCTAAGTGCTTTTCTTACACTGATTCATAAGAAATGTAAAGGAAGTTGGGGCTAGCAGAGGGCATAATGATTACGTTGGTAGACTCCCGCATGGCTGCCCCCAGTTTGAGTACTGGACCTGGCGGCTTGGAACTCACACCTGGTGTCTGTGCATGCACACCCCAAATCCTGAGAGAATGGAAGATAAGAGATTGTGTGTGGCCATGCCCTTCTGGGGGGGGGGTTCCTCACTTTCTGTCTCTCTGTCTCTCTGTCTAGTGCACATGCCCTATAGCAAAAATATCTCTCTCTAAAAAAAAAAAAAAAGAAATGTAAAGGAAGTTGTCCTGCTCATATTAACAATAACAGTACAAACTGCATCTATAAGCCTACTGTGTTTTACTACTTTGTCAAAGAATCAATTTCCAAGTATGCTGCATTTGTGCAGTAAGCACATTCACTCAGAGTGTAGATGTTCTCCAACTTATGATGGTTTAAGAATTTTTTTTACTACGAGTGCAAAAGCAATATACATTTTGTAGAAACCTTAACCCTATCATAAATCAATGGACCTACAACTTAACCATAGTTTCAACTTCTCATGCATTTTCAACTTACAGGTATTTTAAACTTAGCATAGATTTATCAGAACATAACCCCATAGAAAGTTGAGAAACATCTGTATAGGTTTTTCTAACAGGTAGCCATCAACTCTTGCTACAAGCAGGTTTTATGTATAATTTTTTGTTTCACCATCTATCCACCACTCGAAAAATTAAATGCTGGGGGGACCAGCAGATGGTGTAAGGTAACATCACTGGACTCCCACGTAGTTGACCGCGGTTTGAATCTCGGACCTGGTGGCTTAAACTCATGCCAGGCGTGTATGCGTGCATACCCAAATCCCAAGAGGAGAATGGAGGAGAAGGGACTGTGGACTGGCTATTCCCCAAGGGGGTGATTACTTGCTTTCTGTCTATCTGTCTCTCTGTGTCTTTCTGGTGAGCGCACATATCATATAGCAAAAACCTCTCAAAATAACAAAAAAAATTATATGCTGGGGCCAGCAGGTGGCGTAGTGGTTAAGGCACTGGACTCCACATGGCTGACCATGGTTAGATTCCCAGACCTGGTGGCTTATTTGTTTGCTTTCTCACTTTCTCTCTCTGTCTCTCCCTGGTGAACACACATGTCCTATAGCAAGTTAAGAAAATAATAATAAATAAATTTAAGTAAATACTTTTTTTTTTTATTAGAGAGATTTTTTGCTCGATGGTGCATATACTCACCAGAAAGACAGAGAGAAACAGACATAAAGTGAAAAATCACCCCCACAGGGAGAATGGTCACACCACAATCCCACAATCCCTTCTTCTCCATTCTCCTCTCAGGATTTTGGGCATGCACGCACATGCACTGGGCATGAGTTTCAAGCCACTGGGTTTGGCATGCAAACCATGGTTGAGTATGTGGGAGTCCAGTGACATAACCATTACACCATCTGCTGTTCCCGGTAAATAATTCTTTTAAAAAATTATATGCTGGTAACATCCAGATATAGAGCATAGTTTGCTATATTCACTGGAAGCTTCCCAGCTCGTACAAGAATAAAACACAAAGAACAACTTCTGGGACCAGCAGATGGCATAATGGTTACATCACTGGACTCCCACGTGGTCAACTGTGGGTCGAATCCTGGACCCTGTGGCTTAAATTCATGCTGGGTGCATGTGTGTGACTGCCCCAAATCCTGAAGTGAATGGAGAAGGGATCATGGTGAGACGATTTCCTCTGGGAAGTGATTTCTTGCTTTCTCTCTGTCTCTCCAGTGAGTACACATGCCCTACAGCAAAAACCTCTCTCTAAAAAAAAAAAAGAAAAGAAAAATGACACAAAGGACTCCAAATGTTATAATCACAGGATACAATAAAAAAGAGTTTAATTATTGTTTAAAAAAAGAATTATCTAACTTTATTTTTTTATTTTAATTTGACCAGAGAGGGGCAAAATAAGAGAGTGAGAGGGAAAGTAAGAAAGCAAACCACCAGGGATGAGATTTGAACTGTGGTTAGTCATGTGGGAGTCCAGCATCTTTAACCACCACACCACCCGCTGGCCCCAAAAGTGTTTAATTATTTAATGGGAGTAAAAGAAAAAAGAAAAAAAAAGTATAGGGCCAATAGGTGGTGTAAAGGTTAAAGGCACTGGATCCCACATGGTTTGAGTCTGGGGTCCAGTGGCTTGAGAATCACACAGTATGTGTATGTACATATCCAAAATCCTGAGAGAGTGGAGGAGGAATTGTGGCATGGGTATTCCCCTGGAGGAGGGAGCTGATTTTTCACTTTGTCTCTCTCTAGCAAGTGCATTTGTCCTATAGCATAGAAACTCCTTAAAAAATCAGTTCAATTTGGAAAGAAATTGTTCTTGAAAAACATATACTGGGGTCAGCAGATGGTGTAGTGGTATGTCACTCGGCTCCCACATGGCTGACCACGGTTCCAGTCCTGGAAATTCACACTGGGATTATGTGTGTGTGTGTGCATGCCCAAGATCCCAGGAAGAGAACAGAGGAGAAGGAATGGAGGTGTGCCATCCCCTCTGGGGGCTGATTTCTCACTTTCCCTCTCACCGTCCCTCTCTCTCTCTCCAGCAAGCACACATGCCCTAAAGCAAAAACTTCTAAAAAGAGAAAGAAAAAGAAAAATATATACCAAATAAAAATGTACCCGCAGGGGCCAGCAGGTGGCATGGTGGTTGAGGCACTGGATCCCATGGCCAGTGGGATTCCCATTTTGAATCCTGACCTAGTGGCTTAAAAAACATGCCAGGCATTTGTGCATGTGTGCCCAAAATCCCAATAAAATGAAAGAACTGTAAGAATTCAGTAAAAGGTAAGAATTGTACTTGAAAATGGGAAGAATATAATATATTCTGAGATGAAGTGAAGTTATAAATTTACCATATAATTCAGCAACTCAAATCCCTATGAGACAATGTTTCTTGCAACTCCCAAATGCCAGTCTAGCCACCTGTTCAAGGCAAGTGAAAGACATGCAATTCTTTTATTTCTCTAGGCTATTTAGGTTTTATACCTAGGAAAATTCAGATACTCAAGGCTGAATCCTTTGAATGACCTTGCTTTGGTTCCATAATCACATTATTCACTGAGTTTGCTTGGTTAATTGCCATAGGTTTCTCTGAGGAGTCCTGTAAATAAATAACGCCAGTAAGAAATCTGCTCTGCTTTTATTAGAATACTATTACTGTTCAAAACATTGCCTACCTGTTGGAGACAGAAACCAGCCCAGGCCTGAGAGATAAGCCAAAAGGTAAGAATTCAGAAGGGAGTAGAAAGCAACCCCAATCCCAAACAGAAAGCTGCAGGGACTGCATGGTCAACCAGATGGAGCGCCAAGCATGGCCTGTGTCTTAAGATGTTTGACATCATTCCACAAGTCAAGATATTGTCTAAGTACTAAGTTAATGAAAGCTATTAATCTTGTACCAGGAACATAGCCTACAAAGAATGTCATGTATATTATACACTAGTCTCTATAGCCAAACTCACTCACTGCTTATCTGATTTAGTTTAGAATAAATGGGCTCTGCTAAGGCAAAGTTTTGCTTATGCTCCAAGAGAGTTTTAGCCTGCTGCTTTAACCTTTTCCTTGTTGCTCTCTCTTTTTTTCAAAGAATGATTTTTTATTAATCTTTATTATTATTTTCCAGTTTGATCGGAGAGAGGGGTAGGAGGAGGAGTAAGAAAGCAAGCCACCAGGTCTAGGACTTGAACCGCAGTCGGCCTTGTGGGTGTCCTCCACTTTTTTTTTTTTTTTCGAGCAAAAACTTCTAAAAAGAGAAAGAAAAAGAAAAATATATACCAAATAAAAATGTACCCGCAGGGGCCAGCAGGTGGCATGGTGGTTGAGGCACTGGATCCCATGGCCAGTGGGATTCCCATTTTGAATCCTGACCTAGTGGCTTAAAAAACATGCCAGGCATTTGTGCATGTGTGCCCAAAATCCCAATAAAATGAAAGAACTGTAAGAATTCAGTAAAAGGTAAGAATTGTACTTGAAAATGGGAAGAATATAATATATTCTGAGATGAAGTGAAGTTATAAATTTACCATATAATTCAGCAACTCAAATCCCTATGAGACAATGTTTCTTGCAACTCCCAAATGCCAGTCTAGCCACCTGTTCAAGGCAAGTGAAAGACATGCAATTCTTTTATTTCTCTAGGCTATTTAGGTTTTATACCTAGGAAAATTCAGATACTCAAGGCTGAATCCTTTGAATGACCTTGCTTTGGTTCCATAATCACATTATTCACTGAGTTTGCTTGGTTAATTGCCATAGGTTTCTCTGAGGAGTCCTGTAAATAAATAACGCCAGTAAGAAATCTGCTCTGCTTTTATTAGAATACTATTACTGTTCAAAACATTGCCTACCTGTTGGAGACAGAAACCAGCCCAGGCCTGAGAGATAAGCCAAAAGGTAAGAATTCAGAAGGGAGTAGAAAGCAACCCCAATCCCAAACAGAAAGCTGCAGGGACTGCATGGTCAACCAGATGGAGCGCCAAGCATGGCCTGTGTCTTAAGATGTTTGACATCATTCCACAAGTCAAGATATTGTCTAAGTACTAAGTTAATGAAAGCTATTAATCTTGTACCAGGAACATAGCCTACAAAGAATGTCATGTATATTATACACTAGTCTCTATAGCCAAACTCACTCACTGCTTATCTGATTTAGTTTAGAATAAATGGGCTCTGCTAAGGCAAAGTTTTGCTTATGCTCCAAGAGAGTTTTAGCCTGCTGCTTTAACCTTTTCCTTGTTGCTCTCTCTTTTTTTCAAAGAATGATTTTTTATTAATCTTTATTATTATTTTCCAGTTTGATCGGAGAGAGGGGTAGGAGGAGGAGTAAGAAAGCAAGCCACCAGGTCTAGGACTTGAACCGCAGTCGGCCTGGTGTGTGTCCTCCCCTTTTTTTTTTTTTTTTCGAGTCCAGCACTTTTAACCACCACACTGCCTGCCAGCCCCTTACTTGTCTCTTGTCTAAATCCTTTGCAACACCCTGCCTTGAAGCCCTGAGTTTCTCATACTCACAATCTGAGAAAACACATGACCTTTAGATGCATGTAGAAACGTGCTTTTGTGAGCTACTTTAGCAATGACTATTGAGAGCATTTATATACAAAACGTTATTTTCCTGTTGTCATCAGTTATTTTTTTTTTCTTTTTCTTTTTTTTTTGGAGAGGTTTTCGCTATAGGGCACGTGCGCGTGCCAGAAAGAGACAGACAGAGAGATAGAAAGTGAGAAATCTCCCCCGATGGGATGGCCATGATGCAATCCCTTCTCCTCCATTCTCCTCTTGGGATCTTGGGCACACACGCACACACACCCGGCGTGAGTTTAAGCCTCCGGGTCCGGGACTTGAACCGCGGTCGGCTACGTGAGAGTCCAGCAACATAGCCATTATGCTAACTGCTGATCCCATCAGTTATCTTTTTGTTGTTGTCCATATCTGATACCTGATACTGCAGGGCAGTATGAGGCTAGAAAAAACTATGTGTTTATCAAATTTTGTCTCAAAAAGATCAGAGAAATTACATGATACCAGTCATTTTTACGTCTTTAGACAATTTATATCTAAAAACAATTGGCTTTACATTAATAAATTTTTTTTTGGAGAGGTTTTTGCTATAGGGCGCGTGCGCTTGCCAGACAGACAGAGAGAGACATAGAGACAGAAAGTGACATAGAGACAGAAAGCAAGAAATCAACCCCCAGAGGGGATGGTCACGCCACAATCCCTTCTCCTCCATTCTCCTCTCGGGATCTTGGGCACGCACGCACACGCGCCCGGCGTGAGTTTTAAGCCACCAGGTCCGGGACGCGAACCGCGGTCAACTACGTGGGAGTCCAGCGACATAGCCATTACGCTAACTGCTGGTTCCCAATAAATTTTTTTTTTTTATATTCTATTTTTTTCACTTCATTTTCTGTCCTTTAAAAGAATAGACCTGAAGCTGGTTCTAAGTCAAAACTTCTCCATCAGAGAAGTTGGGCTCATCTGATCTTCACTTTTTTTATACTCGTTTGTCTATTACTGCGTTTACTTTTAATCTATAGCCTTTCTCACTCAAAAAAATGTGTTCAACTGATACAAGTCCTCACAAGTGGCGCCCAACGTGGGGCCTGAATACAGAAAAAAAAGAGGTAAGTAGACACTCCTTAAAGCCAGGCAGATATTATTAAATAAGATAAAGATCCTATAGAGTAAAATAAAGAATAAAAAATATAGAGTAAAAACAACAAAAAAACAGAGTAAAAAAAGAGATATCAGAGAAAAAAGGAGTAAAGAGATATCAGAATAAAATAAAGAGATACTAGAACAAAAGAGTGAATTTGATTATTGTCAGGTATAAAACATGAAAACATAATTGTCTAAAGACAGAGATACGTATGTATAAATGTTGTCTTATATGTTAAAAGCTAGAGGCAATAAAGTTAGTATCAAACAGTTACATCAGTTCCTGAATTTTGTACAGGAAAAATGCCCTTGGTTCCCAGAGCGAGAAACAGTTTGTAAAGAGACCTGAGACAAGGTCAGAAAACAGATCAGGGAATGACAGACAACAAAAGATCCTAACAAAATTCCCATTTTTGCCTTCTCCCTGTAGAATTTAATTAAAGAGTGCTTGAGACAGAACCCTCCAGAAAAAAACAGAGCTAGTTTAATAACTCCACTGACAAACACTTCAAAGGGCTATACCTTCCTCTTAACTAAAAAAAAAAAATCAGAGTCTGTAATCAAAGACAAAGATAAAAAAAGTAATACCTGGTTAAAAAAGATTGTCTTTTAAAATTAGATAGACTGAAGATTGCAGATTCTAAAGCAATTGCAGGGTGGGAAGAAAACCGAGCCCCTCCCCCCACACACACACAGCTCACTGCTTCCCAGTCAAAACCTACTTGTGTATCAAATGGCACGAAGACAAAAAACAAAACAAAACAAACAAAACAAAATCTCCCACTTTAAGCTCCAAAACACATTTCTACATGGATCTAAAAGTCAAATTGCAGCTGACCACCTGCCAGCCCCTTCCTTGTCTCTAGTCTCAATCCTTTGCAACACACTTCCTTCAAGCCCCGAGTTTCTCACACTCACCCCAACACCTCTAGAAAGAATTTCAAAATTTTCCTGAGGTCTAAGTGCCATTATACACACACATATGCGCACGCACACACACACACACACACACACACACACATGTGTGTTGTATATATATATATATATATATAAAATTTGTCAGAGGTCACTAGAGACACAGAGATAGATTTATTCACCAGAGAGACACACAGAGAGAAGGTAAACACATTTCCTAATGGAGTGTGGTCATGCTGCAATCCCTTCTCTTTAATTTCTCTATCCTGTTAGGATTTTGGACATCAACACAAAAATATCTAATGTGTTTTTCAAGCTGCCAGGTTCAAGATTTGAACCAGGTGGTTAGCTATGTAGGATCGAGCTACCCCAACCACTAGGACATGGGGCTGGTCTGCCATAAACTATTGACATTCCCTGAGGAACATCTCAGCTTTCTCCTCATAGCCATTGCATTTCATACAACTTAGCATGATTCTCTAGTGGTGTCAGCAGTAAAGATATATCAGATGCAGGAGCCGGCAGGCGCTGTGGTGGTTAGGGCAGCTGGGCTCCCACATGACTGACTGTGGTTCGAGTCCCCGACCTGGCAGCTTGCTTTCTTACTGTCCTTCTCTCTCTCTTTCTCTGGTCAACTTCAAAAAAACAATAAAAAATAAAATAAAATAATGACAATGTCTAAAATAAAATAAATCTTAAAAAAATATATATCAGATGCAAATTGACAGCTAATGTAATTCTTCTGTCACACAATTACACAACGATAACATTAGTCATATAGTAGGAATTATAAGAGCAATGTATTTCTGGTCCTATTTTGTCATGATGTTGGAATTAGAGTCAAGGTTATTTCTCTCCAGACACTGAAATGTTTTCTTTTTTAAGAGATTTTTGCTATAGGGTTTGTATGCTCGCCAGAGAGACAGAAAGTGAGAAATCACTGCCCGGGGGGAATGGCCACGACGCAATCCCTTTTCCTCTATTCTCCTGTTAGGATTTTAGGTGGGCATGCACACACACGTACCTGATGTGAATTTTATGTCTCCAGGTCTGGGACGTAAACAGTTGTCAACTATGTGGGAGTCCAGTGACATAACCATTACACCAACCACGGTCCCAACGTGGAAATAATTTTATATTGTCCACAAATCCATTAGATAATGAAGGATAAAAGAGAAAAATTAAACATGACAAGTCACCTGGACATCCATCATTCTCTTCTGTTTGAGGAAATGGCCAGCAACTGGGATACTGGGATGGATACTCTTTTTCTCTTCTGAATATGCCCTTAATTTCTAAGTAGACATCTCAGTGGCTTGTCAAAGCTATCCACAGAAATTTCTAGGTTCTAAAACTTTCTCTTTCTTCATTCACTTCTCTTTTCCCAGGGTAGCCAGGGCCTGTGGGCTGAAAAGCAAAAAACTTTCAAGAGTGCATTCCTTGTCTTTGTAATTCACCCTAACACATAGCCCCTAGTATTCCTGTCTTTTAATTTGGTACCTCACATTATTTCTTACCTCAGGCAGATAAAATGTAAGACCCCAAATGTGTAGGAGGAATACCATCTGTGAAGTGTGGAAATAGTGTGACTGTGAAAGGAGAGGTGAAAAGGAAAATGGGTACAGCACAAGGCCTCAGTGGCAGGAAATTCTCAGATCAAATTTTAGAAATAAGGCCATATGGACATGAGAAACTTTTTCTTTTAAACTATGTCCCACATACCTCTTTAAAAGCTTTTATACGTTCTATTTATATATATGCTCCCATATGAGAAACAGAGACCACATCAAAAAGACAGAGAAGGAATATGAGATAAAAACACAAATTTAAAAAGCAATTCAAAATATAAATAATAAATGCTGACCTCCCTTAAAGATTGCTCCATCAGTGAGGTCCCTCCCATATGCCAAAATAGCAGCCTTTATGTACTCACATATAAAACCTGAAAGGAAATACACCTAAGAAATAGGCAGCAATTTTTCAGGAAGAAAAAATAGGACTCTTAAACAAAAAGTTTACTAATTTTAGATATGCTGAATTATTCGCACAGCCCCAAGCTTTCATTTCTGAGGGTTGAAGAGAATGGGGTGATAGGAGAAGAAAAAATTAGTGGAGGAGGGACTTGGGCCTGAAGCTTTTAGGGAACGTTAACATTTTCAGATCTGTTCCAAAAGGTGGAAGCACCAGAGAGGGTACTTAAGTCTCCATGGCTTCAGCTTTGTCACATTTCTGCACTAAACAGCGATCAACAAACTTGGCATAGACCGACAAGGATGCTGACCTCTGTGGTGGTTAAGGCGATGGACAGTGGGGGGACAAGTTTTAGTCCCAGACCTGGTGGCTTGCTTTCACCCTTTCCCACTGTTTCTGGTCAAGTTAAAATAAATGAATGAATAAGTAAAATCAAATATATAATTATTTTTAAAAACTGTCACATTGACACCAGCAGATGGCATAAATGATATTGCTGGACTCCCATGCAATTGACAGTGGTTGGAGTCCCATACTCAGTGACTTAAAAACTCGTGGGGGGTGGGGTGGGATGCGGGTAGGGGTGAGTGGTGGGTATGATGGGTACTCGGACGCGGACAGCAGGTGGCCTGGTGGTTGTGACGCTGGGTTCCCGCAGTTCAAGTTTCGGACCAGGTGGCTTGCTTTCTCACTTTTCCCTTCTCTCTCTGTTTGTCTCTCTCTGGTCAAATTAAACAAAAATAAATAATAATAAAAAAAGTTAAATAAGCTTTTTTAAAATTAAGAAAACTCACGCCAGGCGCGTGAGTGTATGCGTGCCTGAGATTTGGGGAGAATGGAGGGGAAAGGATTTCAGTGTGTGCATCCCCCTGGGGAGGGAGTTTTCTCTCTCTCTGTCTCTCCAGTGAGCGCACCTGCCCTATAGCAAAAAACAAAACAAACAAACAAACAAACAAAAAACCAAAAAAACCCTCTCCTAACCAAAACCAAAACCAACTGCTCCATCAGTGAGTTCCCAGACACCGCCTTCGCGGGCACACACCGCCCGACCAGTTCTTCATTTGAGTCCTACAGGCAGCGAGAGCCGTGAAAACCCCGACCTCGGGCCTCTGGAATCTCGGCCTTGATATGCTCAGCCTTTTCATTACTGACCACAAGAATTCCCGTGATGGACCCCAAGGACGCCCATTCCAGACGGCCTTCGCCAACTCGTCCACGCGCCCCTGCAAGACGCACCCACCCGGGGCACGCCCGCCGCCTCGCGGGAGCAGCGGCCTCGCAGCGCGGCTGGACCGACGAGCGCCCGCGCCGCCCGACTCCCTCCTGAGCCGCAGCGGCCTCCCCGGGCCGAACTCACTTCCGGAACCTCCACCAACGCGGAACCGCGGCCACAGCGTTTCTATGGCGAACAGAAGCCGGACTTCCGGCTTTTCACTATGACGTAATAAGCCGGCGCCTGCGACGCCTCCCCGCTGACGGCGGCCGTGTTTAGGTGCCTGAGGCGCGGAAGGCGGAGCCGGCGCTAGGGCGCTAGTGAGCTGGGGAGGGCCACGGGGGTTTCCTCGCTCCTCAGCCCCAGCGGAACGTGGGGCCATTTCCAGAGGCGAACGTGGCGTTAAGGGTCAGGTCTTTTGGGTACAAGGGCACAGAATGAGGTTGCCGCCTCTGGCGGGTTGGCGGCTGTCGGGGCTAGAGCGTCAGGAAAGACCCAAAGATTAGAATGTAAGACGAGAAAAGGAAGCCATGTTTGGGAGACCTGTATTGCAGCTACTTCGTCGGTCTGTAGGACGTGAATCTGAAGTAGCTAGCAGTCTGATCCTGCAAGATCTCGGAGTCCTGTGCAGTTACTTGGGCGAGCGGGTCGGGACCCTGTCGTGAGACAGGTGGAAGGAAAAAATCCAGTCACAATGTTTTCTTTGGCAGCAAATGAGATGAGGAGCTCAGGGGACAGTGAAGTCTACCAAATGGGCGATGTCAGTCAAGAGACAACGTGGCACAGAATATCCGTATTCCGGCCAGGTCTCAGAGATGTGGCCTATCAGTATGTGAAAAAGGGGTCTCGAATTTATGTGGAAGGCAAAGTAGACAATGGCGAGTACACGGATAAAAATAATGTGAGACGGCAGGCAACGACAATCATAGCTGATAACATAGTTCCAGTGCCCAGACCAAAGAGAAGGTGGTACAGTCTCATTTCCATAGCATGTATATAGTCTTTATAATTTCTGAGGAAAAGAATCAGTATGTGAAAAAGGGGTCTCGAATTTATGTGGAAGGCAAAGTAGACAATGGCGAGTACACGGATAAAAATAATGTGAGACGGCAGGCAACGACAATCATAGCTGATAACATAGTTCCAGTGCCCAGACCAAAGAGAAGGTGGTACAGTCTCATTTCCATAGCATGTATATAGTCTTTATAATTTCTGAGGAAAAGAATTAAAGTACTCTTTATATATATATATGCTTTAAAAATTATTTAATTTGATTAGTTATTATTTTCAATGATGAGAGAGACAGACAGACAGAGAGAGACAGTGAGAAAGCAAGCTTCCAGGTCTGGTCTTCAAACCATAGTTGGCCATGTGGGAGTCCAGCGCCTTAACAACCACGCAGCCTGCTAGATCCAGTTTTTTTTTTTTTTTTTTTTCTTTTTTTTTTTTGGGGGGGTTTTTACATTTTTTTTTTTGGAGAGGTTTTTACTATAGGGCGCTTGTGCTCGCCAGAAAGAAGAGACAGAGAGATAGAAAGTGTGAAATCACTCCCCCCCGGGGGGGGGGATAGCCACCACAGTCCCTTCTCCTCCATTCTCCTCTCAGGATCTTGGGCACGCACACACATGCGCCCGGCGTGAATTTAAGCCACTGGGTCCGGGACTCGAACCACGGTCGACTACATGAGAGTCCAGCAACATAGCCATTATGTTTACTGCTGGTCCCAACATTTCTTTTTAAAAAATGAATTATTTGTTATTATTAATTTGACTGGGGGGGGTTCTCTCCCCCTATCTCTCTGGCTCAAGAGTCAGGAGTATTGTGGGCCTTCTCTTAACTGCTCAGGCTCCTCAGCCATTTCTTCAGGTCTCTTTTAGAACTTGTGTGTGAAAGGGGATGGGGTGGATCTTTTGAGATTGTTACACAATAGAATATAGAGAATGGAAAGAGATCATCTCATTGGTCCCCATTCCTACATGAAAGTATATCTCAGTCTTCTAGGTACTCACCCTGCATTTTGTGGCAATGGACACCACCCTTTATGAAGACCCTCACAAATATTTTTATTATTTTTTTGCTCTCTCTTCCAGCTCTTTACCTAATACAGAAACAGAAACCTTTGGTCTTTCTTACTTAGATTTTGGACTTTCTTATTAAGATTTTGGTCTTCCTTATCACTATTTTGCTTCTGAGACTTACTTTCAAAATACACCTTCTTAGGACCTGGAATTTTATCCTTTGTCTGCTGTAGTAGCCCATCTTTAGATGGTGGACATCTGGTGAACTCTCCCATGGAAGGGGTTTACTAGGTAACAAACACTGACCAATGTATCATGCTACATACAGAAGTGCCATTGGAGCCAGTGAGTATACAGGTAGCATGTCATAGAATAGTAATATATAATCAGAATAACTTAAGTGTTTTCAATTGACTGTGGCTTTCATAGAGTTTAACAATACTTCTCAAGGGTAGTGTGACAGTGTTAGAATATATAATAACATGATTATTCCCTTTATGGTGACAATAAAGGGTGTAAAAATTTGCCCTAGGGAGATCACTGTTCAACCTCACAACTTCACATCTGTCACACTAAGTACAGCTCAAGTCATGTTGTTCAACACATGTATGTGCATTCTTCTCCAACAAATACAATTTCCACACATCTTACTGAGGAAGCATATGAAACTGTGGAATGCCTATATTAATAACAAAAATAAAACCAAAACTTTTCTCAGAGGGCCTGTGTGCTTACCAGGGGGAGAAAAAAGTGAGAAAGCAACCTGCCTCCTAAAAAGCGAATGGCCATACTGCCTGCAATTCTTTCTCTTCTTTTCTTCACCCACTTTCAGGATTTTGAACACACACATACACATACCTGGTATGTTTTTCAAGCTGCTGGATCTGGACTTGAACTCAAACTATAGATGTACTTTGTGGGATCCAGCCACCTCAACCACCACACAATAGGCTGGCCTGAAAGATGCCTACATTTTAAAGTCTTCCAGTTTTTTGTTTATCACTGATATTTTCATCTTGTACATTTTGTTATAAATGAGCTTGGTTTATTTAATAAGTACACATTTTAATGACACCAGTGTTTTGTTTTGTATTAACAAATTATAGGGGCCAGCAGGTGGTGGTGTGGTTAAGGTGCTGGACTCCCACATGGCTAACTGTGGTTTGTGTTCTGTATCTGGCAGCTTGCTTTCTTTTTCTCTCTCTGGTCAAATTATAAATAAATAATAATAACAAAATTAAGTAATTTTTTTTAATAAGAAAATTATAGGGCTGTGGAATCAACAAATGAATATGCTTTTATGTATTTTCAAAGATTTCTTTCTTGAGTGTTCATGGCTTGTTAATTTCCTCAAAATCTATATAACCTCCAGAAGTTCGTGAAAAGTTAGTATTACTTCCTTTTTGTACTGTTTCTTATGACTATCTGCTAACACTTGTCACAATTAAGTCCACTTTATTTATTAAACCAGGAACTATTACCACCTTGGGAATATACCCCTTTTTTTTATTACATTATTGTCTTAGTCACAGAAATACCATTAAATGTGTTTGTCATGGCTTGTTATTAACATATGTCCCTTTTGTTTTGTTTTTTACTATAAAGTGCATGCACTCACCAAAGAGAGGGAAAGTGAGAAAGCATCCTCCCGGGAGGATGGCCATACCAGTCTCTTCTATTCTCTCAGGATTTTGAGCACACATAATATGTACACTAGCCAAGCATGCTTTTCAAGCTACCAAGTCCAGGACTTTAAACTGCACGGTTGACCATGTGGGATCCAGCTGCTGTACCCACCATCCTACTGGCTAGCCCAATCCCTAGTAAGTCTTACTCTTTTTTGTAAGAGATGAGATGAAGGGTTGGCCTTTGAATCAAAGTTTTATTTCATGGGACCAGCAGATAGTGTAATAGTTACATCACTGGACTCCTACATGATTGATTGTGGTTGGAGTCCTGGACCTGGAGGCTTGAAATTCAGGTGGGATGAATCCCAACAGGAGAGTAAAAGAGAAGGGATTGCAGCATGACCATCTCCCCTAGGGGGTGATTTCTTACTTTCTGTTTCTCTGTCTCTCTCTGTCTCTCCAGTAAGCTCATGTACCCTACAGTAAAAATCTCAGGAAAAAAAAAACAAACAAAAAACTTTTATTACATTCATTACATGTTGTGGTTTCTCCCCAGTAGGAATTACATGTTTTTTAAGTTCAAAACTTTGCATAAAAACCTTTCCAAATTCATTACATTCATAAGGTTTCTCTAAAGTAGAGTACCTCATGATTAACTAGAATTGAATGTACTCTAAAGGCTTTGTTAGATACATTTGTAAGATTTCTCTCCAGTATGAATTATCCAATGATACACTAAAAATGAGCTGTGACTGAAGACCTTGACACAGTCACATTTATAAGGTTTTCCATAAGTATGACTTCTGATGATTTAAAAGTTCTGAGCTGGAATTGAAAGGGTATAACACTCTAGAGGCTTTACCACATCCATTACATTTGTAAGGTTTCTCTCCAGAATGAACTCTTCATTGAAATGAAAGGTCTGCATGGAAACTGAAGGCTTTCTCATGTTCATTATATATGTAAGGCCTCTCTCCAATATAAAACCTCTGATGCCTTTCAAGGTATGACTTGCAACTGAAGACTTTATCACATTTATTACATTTGTAAGGTTTCTCTCCAGTATAGGTATTCTGATGGTCATTAAGAACTTTGTGAACACCAAATGCTTTGCCACATTCATTACATCTGTAAGGTTTCTCTCCTGTGTGAATTCTCTGGTGAGTTACAAAGTATGAATTTTGACTGAATTCCTTGCCACATACAACACTTTCATACAGTTTTTCTCTGGTATGCATTATCTGATGTCCACTGAGTAGTAAGTATGAATTAAAGGCTTTGCCACAGTCATTACGTTTGTAAGGTTTTTCTCCAGTATGAATTCTCTGATGATTGCAAGATATGAATTTTTAGTGCTAAATGCATTGCATTTGTAAGGCTTCTCTACAGTATGAATTCTCCAGTGATTTGCAAGGCATGAATTTTGACTAAAGGCCTTGCCCCATATATCACATTTATATGATTTTTTTTCCTTTCAGGATTTTCATATATCTAATGAGTATAAAGCTCTGATTTAAGGCTTTGCCACACTCTACATTTGTAAGATTTCTCTCTAGTATGAATTTTGAGGATTAACATCATTTGAACTTTGAATAAAATGTCATATTCATTGCATTTGTATGGTTTCTCTTGGGTATGTATTCTACAGTGACTTATAAGATGTGAATTATGACTGAACACCTTGCCACATACATCACACTGATAGGCCTTTTATCTAGTATAGGTTATCTGAAGTTTAGTGAGGACTAAGTGCCATTCAAAGGCTTTGCTACATTCATTTTTCCCTAATGTGTGTTTTCTGGCTTTGTGTGAATGCTGAAAGATATAGGAAGTCATTCCCATATTTAGTAAAAATGGTAGCTTGCAAGCATGGAAAAAATCTTTTTAGTAGTGAAATCGAGGAAACACTGTTAATTGTCTTCTCAGTTTGATAACCTGATAAAATTTCCTGCTAGTTTGAAATTTCTGCAGGTTGGCCAGATGTGACTGAAAACTTAATACATGCCTATTTTTGAATACCTTCTTTTATTATGAGTCCTAGGCATTCCTTTATAATTTCTTTATCATATCTCCATTGCCCTCAAAATCCTCTATATTTTTCTTGACTTCCCTGAAGTAAAAATCTTCCATGTCATGGCTTTTTAGGTTTTTCCAAAATTACTGTTTGAAACATCTCTCCTGTATTGTTTCCTCTTGGTGGTAACTGCTTGATTACACATTTAAGAGATGTATCTATAAGATACAACAAAACACAGGTTTCCAATGAATTACAACTGGCAAATATTTTATATTGAAAAAAATATTACATGAAAAGTAGTATTTATACTAAACAGTTATACATACTTTCCATCTGTGGTCTTCAATCTTTAGAAACAGAAGGATTAGAATTCTTTTTAAAGAAAGGATGATAATGGACCAGCAGTTAGCGCAATGGCTATGTCGCTGGACTCCCATGTAGTTGACCGTGGTTCGAGTCCCGGACCCGGAGGCTTAAACTCATGCGGGGCGCATGTGCGTACGTGCCCAAGATCCCAAGAGGAGAATGGAGGAAAAGGAATTGCGGCATGGCCATCCCCCTAGGGGGTGATTTCTCACTTTCTGTCTCTCTGTCTCTATCTGGCGAGCACATGTGCCCTACAGCAAAAAAAAAAAAAAAAAAAAAAAAAAAAAAAAAAAAAAAAAAAAAATCAAAAAAAAAACTTCCCCAGGAAGCACTTTCAGAAGTTTACGCTTCTACATGCTTTTAAGCCACAGGGTAAGTGGCAAGTGAGTCCTAAATGACCCTCCCCTAACGCTGTAGGGCTGGCAATGCAGGAGCCCACAACCAACCCCCGAGGAGGATCCCAGCAAGCCAGGAAAGGGCACCTACCGGGCTTCCTAGAGCGATGGGACTTGAACTGCTGTTGACTATGTGGGAGTCCAGTGACATAACCATTACGCCATCTGCTATCTCTCAAATTACTTTTATTGAAGCCTAGTTTAATTTTTTCTTATCAGACACATTTTTGCTATAGGGCATGTGGGCTTGCTGGAGAGACTTTAGAAAGCGAGAAATCATCCCCAAAGGGGGATGGGCATGCCACAATCCCTGCAGAAGGGATTCTGCTATTGGGATTTTGGGCATGCACGCCTACACACACAATGTGAGTTTTAAGTCACTGGTCCAGGACTCGAAACACTGGTCAAACACGTGGGAGTCTAGCAATGTGACTATTATGTCCTCTAGTGGGTCATGAAGCCTGGTTTCTAATACCTTATGACCAAAACATCCATGTTGTCCAAACATTTAATAGCACTGAAAAAGGAATTTTCCCATCTAACCCAAAGTACATACCAACTGGATGTAAACACATGCATCTCCTCTAATTAAAGAGGAATATATAATACATGTGTATACACACACACACACACACACACACACACACACATACACTTGACATTTACTGTGAGCAGTAAATGTTATTCTTTTTATTTACATTTTTTTAGATTTGAACCACAGTTGACCATGTGGAAGTCCAGCAATGCAACCATTGCACCATCTCCTGGCCCCTGTGTGTGTGTGTGTGTGTGTATTTGTTCTTGGTTTTCTTCAGTGCTTTCTGTTGCCCCAATATGGAGGTTACATTTAATACAGGAAGAGAATTTCCTGTTTGTTTTTTTTAAAGATTTATTTTATTTAACTTTATTTATTTATTTTTAATTTGACCAAAGATGGAGAGAGAGAGAGAGAGAGAGAGAGAGAGAGCGAGACAGCCAGCCGCCAGGTCTGGGACTCAAACCCTGGTCCACCTTGTGTGAGTCCAGCACCCTTAATCACCATGCCACCAGCTGGTCCCTGAGAGTTTCCTGTTTCCAAAAAGAAAGGAACATGCTGTGCAGTAGCTTTCCCAAAATCTCATTTTTTTTGTTCAGCATTTAACAGAAGACATTACAGATTGGACTAGAAAAATATTTCACAAAATCAACTATTGAACGTATCCTTCTGAATGCTGAGGGAACCCTATAGTACGCAGATACCAAGTTCTGTTCCAAGAACCATTGAACCAAAGCATAGAAGTAGAAAATAGGAATTAGGCTGCCATAAGATTTTATGAATACTTAAGATCTGAAACAGTAAATGTGAAGAATAAAAACGATTCAAGTCCAGATGCTAACCTAAGTCTAGTGACACCGGTGGAAAGGTGCCATATTACCAATGCTGGAACTCTGCGACCAGGAAGAAGAGGCAGCCTCTCCTGGATTGTGGTGCCGGAGCTTTCAAAGGGCAAGGCTTGGGGAACCGGAACGGGGCGAATCCACCTCTCAGGTAGGGAGTTAAGGTGGCGCGGGGCCGCGGGGCAGGTGAGTAAAGGGTTCAAGCACGAAAACTGCGTGTAAAGAGGTGGCTATGTGGTCCTATGGCAGAAAGACCAGAGTCAGGGACAAGCCTCAGAGTGACTTTAAACCGAAAGAGAAGCAACTCCCAGACCCAGACTTACTGTGGGAAAGGGGCCGGTGCAGAGACTTTAAGGTTTGTATCAAGCCCAGATCCTGGGGATGGACGACTGACAACTGCTAGCTTAACAAAGTCTCGCCGCAATTACCTCCACGGAATCCACTTCCAGGTCTGTGGGCACCTGCGCCTGCGCAAGGGAAAAAAACCGCCCTAGATGCCTGGGGCGGAGTCAGGGCAGGCGCAACGCGATAGGAGAAAAAAGGGAGCCAGGTCCTCCGGAGGGTGGACCCGGCCTGGGCGGAGGGGCGAACCCGAGGAGGGGCCTGTGCTTGGCCCCTCCTCTTACTGACCTTTGGATTGCGTTGTATTTCTATCGCTATTTCCTGCTCGGTGGCGCAGTGTTGCTTCCTGCTTCTTGTAAGATAATGTTTCAAGATTTAAGGATAAAGTTTAAAATTCTGGTCCAATTCTTAACAAGTTGAAACGATTTAAGTCAAAAGCTGTTTGCAAGCCTGATGGACAGTCTCGCTGGTGAGGCTGAAGCTATTCAGCTCTTAAGGAACTGGGATCTCAGTGGGGATTCTCTGTGGATGGTGGTTAGATCTGGGAAAGTAGAATACATGCCAAGTGAATTAAAGCAGACACAGAATAACAGTGTATGATCTCACTTACATGTAAAACCTAAAATAGTTGAACTCATAATAAGAGGGTGCATAGTTACCGGGGTGAGGGTAGGGGAAATGGGGGTTGGTCAATGGATACTAACTACTGGTTCTAAGATGAGTTAAGTCCTAGAGACCGAATGTACAGCCTGGTGGCTATAGTTTATAATGATGACAATGAACTACTGTATACTTGAAATTTGCTGCAAGTGGATCTTAAATATTCTCACTACACCAAAAAAAAAAAAAAAAAAAAGTAACTGAGGTGATGGATATGGAATTAGTCTGATTGTGGTATCATTTCACGATATGTACTTATATTAAAACACTATGCTGTGGGGACCAGCAGGAGGCATGGTGGTTAAGGTGCTAGACTCCCACGTGGCTGATTATGGTTTGAGTCCTGAAACTGGCAGCTTGTTTTCTCACTTTCTTTCTCTCTGTGGTGAGCACATGTGCCCTATACCAAGTCTAAAAATATTAATAATAAGTAAAATAAATTAATAATTAAATTAATAATTCAAAAATAAACACCATGTTGTAACTCTGCATACATACATTTCTATTTCAATAAAACTGAAAGAAAAAGAAGAAAAAAATTATGTGGTGCCACAATAAAACCTGATGCTCTTGCCTCGCTGAACCACAGGGGGAGAATCACTGTTGACATCTGAACTCTCAGAATGCTGGCAGCTTGTGCCCATGATCTAGGATTGGCTGAAGTTGAGGGTGGGTCACTGTGCCAAGACTTCATTCTGGGTGCTATTTCTCTTTCTGTTTTAGAGAAATAAATTAATAATCTTCAAGAAAAAGGACTCATATCAACAATCTAACTTTACACAATAAGGAACTTAAAAAAATAGAGTAGTGCTATTATATGAGTGCACATCATTATGAATGTGGCAAATTTGTGCATGAATATGAATGTATAAATGAAATTGAGTTCATGAGTGACTGTGGATGTGTATAAGTATGTAAGTATATGTGGCTGTATTTAATGTGTTAGCATGTGCATGCACATATGTGTTTACATCTTTGTACAAATCATTGTGTGTGTGTGTCTGTGTGACATGGTTTGGCTCTAACCACTACTTTGGAAATTGAGAGCCAACCAGTGACCTGGTTATTAAGGCAGCTGCATTCCACATGCTGACTGCACACTTTGAACCCCAGGCTGGGCAGGTTGGAAAACATCCTGTGTGTGTATGTGTGTGTGTGTGCATGCCCATAATCCTGAGAGGAGAATGGCGGAGAAGGGATTGTAGCACGGTCAGCCCTTTACATTTCTCTTTCTCGGGCAAACGCACACACCTTAACAGCAAAATTGAAAAAGAAAGAAAGGAAAAAAAAATCCCTGGGGACAATTGCATAGTGAACCTGGATCAAAGTGTTGATTTGTTTGTAGAAAAAAATGGAAGCATTTAATTCAACTCATAATTTATATATTCCTATACATACTTCTTTAAAAGAATTATTTTATTTAACTTTTATTATTATTTTCCAGTTTGATCAGAGAAAGAGAGAGAGAGAAAGTGAGAAAGATAGCCACCAGGCAGGACTTGAACCATGGTCGGTCATGTGGGAGTCCAATGCCCCCAACCACCATGCCACCTGCAAGCCCCAATACCTATACATAGTTTTTTTTGTTTGTTTTAAGAATTATTTTAACTTTATTTATTTATTTTTAAAATTTGATCAGAGAGGGACAGAGTGAGTGAGAGAGAGAGAGAAAGAGAGAGAGAGAGAGAGCAAGACACAGAGAAAGTGACAAAGGAAGCTGCCAGGTCTGGGACTCGAACCACGGTCAGCCATGTGGGAGTCCAGTGCTCTTAACCACCATGCTACCTGCTGGCCCCAACCTATACATACAGTTTAATTGCCTAAAGCACATACTCATGTGAAAGAGTAAGAGAGAGAAAGCATTCCCTCAATGGGGCATGGTCACATGGCAATGCTTTTTTTCTGCATTCCCATATCTCATCAGAAATTTGTGTACACATTCACATGTGCTCAACATATATTTTTAAGCCATCAGGGTTAGGATTTCAATCTTGGTTAGACATGTGGGATCTAACGTTCTACACACAGGGCTTAACTGCTTTACTATAGGGCCAGTCCCTACATGTGTGTGTACCTTTTGTTTTCCTTTTCTTTCTTTCTTTTTTTTTCCCCCTTAGGTTTTTGCTATAGTGCACATGTACACACTGGGGAGAAACAGAGAGAGGCAGTGAGAGGGCAAGTGAGAAATCACTC